TCTAGGCCTATATGAGTTTTATCACATTGAAACTTCTGATTGCAAGCCGATTCCGATTAAGAATTTCTGTGAGTGTTTTGCCTGAGTCAAACATACCGTTGAAGAAAATATGTTGCCATTATCGACTCGGTTAGCAAATCACTCAGTCATTGTTATGAAATTGTCAAATGATCTTTAGTATATAAAGCCGTGTTTACACTGGAGATTGGGACTTTGGTAGGTAGGTCTAAAACTTGTTTCTAACAATTTGTGTGAACAACTCCTGCGTTGTGGAAATATCGTGATTTTTTAATCGCACAATTGCTGCAGATGCATCCTGTGTTCATAATACTATTGAAACTAGGCCCTAATGCCTGACAGATTCTGCAAAACATTCTTACTTTGTTTCATTATAAACTGTATAAATATAATAATTTGTGTAGGTAGGCTGAGTACAGTATAGCTAAATGTTTGGTGCGCTGGTATTATCCTTAAACCACTTATTTTTAGAGGGATTTTTTACCGGAGGCCAAAAATAACTACACAATTGAAAAAACATTTAATTGACATACTGTCCAAATTTGACATCATTAAGATTAGCGGCCTTTGAGTTCTGTCTCCCAAAAGGCAGCGATGTCGGCGAGGATTGACTGAATACACATAGCCTACTCCACCAAGTAGTTATATAGTGTGCTGCGGCGGTTATGTTAGGTTGGGTTGTCATAAATATGTTTGTAGGACTTTCCTCGTTTTGTTATGAATCAATTGATTCCAGATGAGTAACGATAACAGAGATACAGGCGGTGACCATCGATGTATTACACATTGATGGCGGTGACAGGTGATGCGCACGCTCTGTTCAACAACCTGACCTTGGCCTATTTGGGAGGATTTAGCAGGTGAAAGTATGACTCATCTGGTATGGTTATATTCATAACGAAACAAAGAAAGTCCTACAAACATATTTATGATAACCCAACCTAACATAACCGCCAAAGCGTGCTGCATAAGGGTGGCCTCCGGATAGTACGGTACCAAAGTACCAAATGTTTTTAAGATAAGGGAATTGCTTTTTATAAACAGCAAACCTTTTTCAGGTTTACTAGCTGCATCATGTCCAAAAACCTTTCCTAACAAAATTTATGAAGGAAGAGTAAGAGAGTGGTTTACACAAGCTGGAACAAAAATGGCAAGTAAAAACAAGAGGAGATCATTGTAGTCTGTGTAAATGATTAATTTTTATAATAAATCTTTATTTATCTACTGTATTACTTTGTTGTTTATCTAAGTCTTCTCCTTTAGTGTCTGTAATTTTTTTCATTCTATGAAAGTCTACATTTAAGTATTTTTAACAAACACATAAATAAAAGTCTAGGGTTAACTATGTTGTTAGTTCAAATTTTTTTTGTGAAATAAAAAAAATAATATTAATTTTTTTACAACAGCATTTGATTATTCACACCATAGATGAAGCAGTTGTTATTTTTTACTACTTGGCAATTACCATTCAAAATTTTAGTTGCAGCAAATTGATATATACAAGGATTATATATCCCACAGTCTAGGATGCTTTCTTTTGTCTATACTTTCCGTTTACTCATATTATACAAACCGTATGAACTAAGTGTTGACCTTAACTAACGGTAAGTTGTGCTTACAGATTTTGTAGATTTATCTATTTATGGGTAACAAATGTAAAACGTATGGGATAATGTACGTATATCTGTAAGACAACTTCTACGTAGATTATATGTACATTATACATCTGCTATATAAATTGTACGTATATTTTACATATACACGGTTTATGATAATGGACCAATCTATATTTATACGTATAATCTACAGATATTGTATGTCCATGTAGACCTTAAATTGACGTATATTGTACGTCAACAAGTGGGACATTTGAGCGTATATTATACGTACATTTTATGTAACCTATCTCTCTGATATACGTATTGTAGATCTAAGTTGAACATACATTATATGTATAATCTACGTATGTGTGCTGACTGGGCTGGTATCCGTTTTAGCTCAAGGAATATCTCTGTTCTGCGTTTTTGTTAAGATTGTGTGAAGCTAGGATCGCTGAACTACCTCAGTCGCTTGTCCATGTGCAGGACCCATGATGTTAAAGGTTTTTATTAATGATAAAATAAAAGATTCGGAGATTTTATTTTTTAAATGTTGTTCAGACAAACAGATATATTGTAAAGTAAAAACTGAAAGTAATAATTATGGAATACATGACCACGCTTGTAGCTAAAACTTCCGACCTAGTGACATTGTTTTGCTTCAAGTTAGTATTGTTACCTAATTTAAAATTTTTGAGAATATTTGGATGTCAAGCATGGTCCATGTGCCAAAGCAGAAAAGGGATAAATTTGACGTTAAGTCTGAAGAATGCATAGTGGTGGGATATTGTGAACATTCTAAAGGATATCGCCTCTTGTCATAAAGAATTAATAGTGCTGCACCCTGTTGGTAAACCTTATAACCTTTTAATGCTATTGAATATCAAGAACCAACTTGTGTAGTTGAAACAGCTGGAAAAATTCTTTAATTCCTTTTAAATATGAATACTCATAAGGTTATCATGAGAAACTCTAGAGCCACTGGGGTTTAGCCCGAAAGGATTTTTGGGATAAGAATGTGTCTATATGTTAATCGGGAATGTGAGCTATCGAGAAAATAGAATTTAGTCTCAAATTCAAAATCCAGTCTCGTCCAACCCTATTAAACAGTTATGTATACTTTGGACAAATGTGCCATGTAGCAATCTTAGTGTTTGATTTTTTTATTGGAACAACTTTGGAAATTGAGAGAATAATTCTGATATCTGATATCGAACCAGAGTTGTCAAACTGTAACAGAAAACATTATCGTATTTTCAGTGTTTCGTAGAAATCGCCTTCACGTATTATATATAAGGATATTTATTCAATCGTCGGTCACTACATTATTTTTTTGTTTGTTTTTCACTTTGCTGATTTTTTGTTAATTCACCTAGTTTTTTTTACTCTTTCATATTTCTAACGCTGTTGCTATTCATTGTTATCACTTATTACCTTTTAATGTTATTGTTATTAGCTACATTGTAACATTGCATGTTACTTCTTGTATATATTAACAATTTTTATAATACTGTGGTTTGCATACAAAACCCGATTTGATAAAGTTTACATCCTCCATAAGAAAAACATGGGAATTTTAAATTAACAACTTTTTTACTTTTCTCCGTAATTAATAACTGTGCAAAAACACTTCAATATGTGAACCTATAAACAAATCTCTGCACTAGTGTGATTTCATGGGTCCTGCAGCATGGCCCGTTTTTCTAGTGGGGCCTTGGTTCTTAAACAATGGTGTGCTAACGGTAAATATATGTTTCCATAGATACTATTTATTTTTTTTCATTCACTGACACAGTAAAGAAATGTAAGATGAAATTTTTCCTCCTGCCAATATTATTTTGAGGACAAGTACAGACTCGAGAAAGTTTAGTGTTCTGGAAGAAGTGGAAGATGATCAGTGAAAACTTGGCAGAATTATCCGTTCTTGTTACTATTGCTACATAAGAACTAGCAGGAGATCACTATGGTAAGCAGCCAACGCAACTCCTGGGGAAAATGGGAGGTTGTAGAACTACTTGGAGACCTGATGTTGTATTGCTTCAGTAAAACTAAAAGGATCCACATAGTTGAACGGTAAAAGACCAAAGGATTTGCCATGGAAAAATGTTTGAGAAATTTGATGAAATGTAGGAGATGAATGAAACTTTGGATGAGGTGATTGAATCCTGAGAAACTCAAAGAGAGGAAGTAACTAAAGAGTTCTGCAACAACACTGTGAGCCGATTAGAGACAAGTGGATACAAAATACAAGGACCCAGCCTGAAGAAGATGAACAGTACGAGTTAGAACCAACGTGTTGGTATTAAGAATGCTAGTATTAAGTATTATCTAGTATTAAGTATTTTTTGTACCTAGTGTTAGTATTTTTATGTATGTAGTAATAAATTATCCGTGCGCTTTCCTACTTCAGCGTATACGGAGCGTCCCCAGGTGGCGGATAGGGGGATGGTCGGTGGATCTGCTTGTCAGTCCTACTGGCTAGGTCCGATGGACCCGCTGACCAGAAGTAGGTCCTCCATTCATATTGGGGGTTGTGGCGATGGGCTAACCACCCTCCCATGTAAAACAACCCTGGTTATTCCCTGGTTATGGTTATTTCACCTGCGGAATGCCTCAGACAAAATGGATCACATTGGACATCAAACTAAGCTGTATCATAAGGACTTGAGATTTGAAGCTTAAATGTTAGCTCTCTGGTGGTGCCAGGTGCTGTGGACATCGTTAGCTGGTAACTGGTAATCAAACTATCATGTGTTTTATATTTATTGTTAAATGTTTAACAAAACGGCACGGAGGTGGCTAGACACTAAATCGGGAAAATAGGGGGCCGGGGATCGCTCAGCTCAGAGGCCCGTGACAGCTCTCGCCGGCCCTGAGGTCGTTAGATAACGCTACAGAGGTTGTTATTATAAGTCCCGCCTGTACTACAGACTTATTGCTCAGCTCAACTGATAGTTGACTAAGTTGACACTACGTCCACGTCGATCGGACTGTAGTGGATCTGTGAAGCGTACACTGCAGCTGACGAGCTGACTGGACTGAGCTGAGCAAACAGACTGGACTGTCTGAAAGTGACAGTAAACCACAGATTAAACTGTCTACAGCGAGGTCCCGAGTTGTTGACGAGTAAAATCAGTAGGTCTAAATTTACTCAATAATTGTAACTTTAGCTTTAATATTGACAATATTTGTCTGTCAAAACTAAACTTACCGTCCTATTCAATTATGTTTATATGCATTAAAATAATTTTAAATTATAGAGCTCTTTGGGCCCCCTAAGGGCTTGGGCCCCCCTGCATTGCGGGATTTCGCGGTTCCTAGATCCGGCCCTGCCTTTAGTATAAAGTTGTATGAGCGAATTCTACTTTATTTGTCTATGGTTACCTCGGTAGTCCAGAGCAAAGACATGGTAGTTTATCTTGTTCAGCAGTCTGTACACTCTCAGCCTGTGAGAAGATGCGCGTGTGCCTGCGCTGCCGTGGAGGTAAAGCACCACTGTCGCGTTTGCCATCGATTGTCTGTAAGTCTCATCTGTGTTGGTCTCGTTCATTGCTTGTCCCACAGGTAATGTGTGCCTATAATTCATGATTTAGTTACAACCAACTTAATTTGATTTTAGGTGGAAGTTCAACTTTCAATTTAAATTATCAATCATAGAGATAGGGACACCACCTAGGTCCTTGACAGTTGCGACCACTAGTCGTTTAATGACAAAGATGAAAATAATCATATGAAAATAAAATTAATAAGCTACAAAATGATTAGTAATAAGAAAATGAAAAATTATTATTTCAATAGTATTTATATCGAATATAATAGAGTTCATTTGTGTTACATACCATTAGCTTTTTGCAAATTTTACATTAAGGCAGTGGTTCTCAAATATGGTGACATTTGAGGTGGTACACGTTCAAGTATACAAAGCTTCTACCGATATAATTACAGTAAAATTATTCTTTCGTTTTCTAAAAATTAGTTTTTGGACTAAAATTATCAATATTCAAAAAACTATAATTAATATTAGGAGCTTAGTTCAGAGACTGTTTTGCAAAATTGTATCAAAGATTTCATATTGATAATTGACTGAATTTTACAAACATTGCAATCGATTATTCCAAATCAATTTCATGAACAGAAGTGTAAAGGATGTACTGTATTACAAGTGTTAGCTCTTGATGTTTAAACTACAATCACATAAGCTTTTATCTTACAGCTTAACCACACTAACATTTTTTTTAAAAATTTTGCACTTATCAAAAATACTAAAATTAGCAAACTTACCAAACCCCCACTTTTGCTCCATCCGTGCTGTTAACATAAAAGTTTTTGGCTCCAACAAATCCAACTTTCTCAGGATGTTCATAATCCATGAACAATGGAAGTTCTTCTGCAAAATAAATAATCCAAATAAACAAACAGGTCACTGTGGTCCTTGTAGTGTTCAGTGAATTCTATCAGAGCAAATTATGACTACAGGCAAGAAAGACTAAAATGTAAACAAATTTTCTAAAAAAAATACCTATCATTTATAGTCTCGATAATAAATAAAAAAAATAAATAGGTAACAAATAATTAAATAGCTAATTTACTGTAATGTAGTCTGGTAATGTAGTACAGTAGCATGGTGATAGAATATGATTTGAAAAAAACACTGATAACCACTTACAAATAAACTTTTGAGTTACAACAGTAGTTTTAAAGCTATTTTTCCTGTAGAGAACATCAATAACTAAATATTAAATTGTGTATGGAGAATTGAACGCAAAGCCATTTGTAGGTTTACAGTATAGATACATAAAGAATAAGAGTTCTTATTCAATATTGGTGTTTTTTTTTAGGATATTTCAATAATTTTGCAACAACTGTTGTATCATGCAACATGCCACCAGCACTAAAGCTGATGCTGAAAGACCAAAGTCGCTGTAAGAAGAATCAATAATCAAAATAAACCAATAAGCCAAGAAAGAAAAACAAAATGAAACTATAAACAAAATTAAAAGCTTGCTCTTGCTGTTAACTATATTTTATTCAAAAATCTATGGGTCTAAAAAAATATATGAGAAAACAGAATAATAGATATCAGTTATAAACAAAACTTCCAAATGAATAGTTGAGTAAAAGTAAAAAAATTTAAAATGGGGTCTGGCTAATGGAAAAATTGTTATAATCCTTATTCTATAATAACATTTTTTTAAAACAGTGTTTTTTTTTTTAATTTCACAACAAATCATGAGAAACAGAACTAAAATTCTTATATTTTATTTTTAAACAATGTTTCAGCAAAAATAAACTCTAAATACAAAACCAATGCATCCGCTAAAGAGAAATATCAATATCCTGGTACAGTAATACCCATGCAACAAAGTTGGGTAGAGGAGATATTACTTCCTGCAACTTACAGTTCTCGTAAAAGTAAACTACTACTGTCACTATATGCGGGGAAATCAGTAGGAAAAGAGAATATCAAAACAACCAAACCCATAAGAAGAAAGATGATGGGGTGTCCCTGGTCATACCATGCAACTAGATATGGGCACAAATGATAATCTCCCAAAGAACTTTCATTTTGCAAGCAGATCCTTTCCGCCAACTTTGATGCTTCTACCACCTGGATATAATGAAAAACTTTCGAGACTTACCATCCTTGATCTTACCCTTAGCTTCAAATATGAAGCTTCTCATGATCCCAGGGAACCATAGGAATAAAATAGGAACTACGACGTACACCAGTACCACTGTGAGCCCAGCTAGGCCAAGGAATCCACAAAGTGTCCTGAAATAGCCAAGAAATCCTTACTAAAATTGTATGATGATTGCCTGCAAGAGGGTTGCAAAACTAGATTTAGATTTAAAAATGAAACAAGTCCTTGTAAGGTTGCATCCCCAAATAATTAATGTTTAATCATAATATAGAATGTAAAGTACATTACTTTACATTCTATAAAAACATCAGCAAAAGAAGGAATTGCAGGAAAAATATTTGCTGGAAAAGTTTCCTATACTGAGCAATTTTGATTTTAGAATTTTGCCAATAACAACATGCAGCGCTGGATTTAGGGTCCCCGAATTCACAGGGACGCCATCATCTTCACCCACGATTGTTAATTCTAGCGAGTCTGAATTTTAATTTTTTTGATTCGGACTGCATGTTAAAAATGTGCGTATGCTTTTATTCTAAAATTATCGGTATTTTATTTCACAACCTTTTTGTCTTTTGTAAAATTTCTTTAACATTTATGGTTTTTAAGATATTTGCCCTAAAAACAAAAATGGTCGCCATTTTGAAATGGTACAAAGTAGAAACTTGATACTCAATACTGAAATACATCTTGTTATTTCACATGTACATATCGTAAGATATGATAAATTATGTAAAAAACAAAAACAGGCACACAGACAGAAAACTAAGCACTTTATAGGACATATTATGTTTGTATCAACTTTTTTCTTATTTTCACCTATAAAATCATACACTAAAATATTTTACCATAATTTCTGGACACCCTGTGTAAAACATTAGTCAGCGTTCATTACATCGCTAAAATTAATAGAAAACAGTTGATTTGAAGTTTTATTTTGGCGTGAGGCTGTAGCCAGCTGATTGCCGAAATTGTAACATCTGTGTAAAAATCAATATTGAACGTACAGATACAGGAGTGGCAGTATAGCAAAGCAAATTTCTTAAACTGCATGTGGTTTGTTTTATTATTTATTTGTTATTAATTATTTATTTATTATTTATTATGTGTTATTTATTTATTATTTATTTATTTATTTATCAACTAAACATTTTTTACTATCATACATTTTTGTAAAGATCTTTTATTTTCGTTCAAATTATTTGTACTTGGTAAAAAATTAAGTTAAAACTAAATTAAAATAAGTAAAAATTATTTGTTTTTGGTAATTAAAAAAGTTTTTTTTTTTTTATATAACTTGTTTTATTGAATTAGAGAATTATGAGAATTAGATTCTACTTATTTTATGCAACTGATTTAATTGTGTAAAAATATTCCTTTAACACTTTTTATGGTTGCAATTAAAATTTCAAATTTTCAAAACAGATTTTTGCAAAAATGTGTGGCCTACCCTAAACGAACAGCTAAAACCAAATTATTCGCAATTCCTCAAATTAGGAAAAGTTCCTCTAATATAGGCCTACGATTTGCCTATCTCTACATACTCTACTGAAACAGAAAGTGTACAATATTTAATTACTTTTCGTTTCAAATACCAGCTCTATAGTCTTTTAAATGTAACAAGTACAAACACCGGGAAACACCGCGAATTAGGTCTGCCTCTATACAAACTCAACATGCGCCAGATAATTGGGTTACAGTAATAGCCATGGCTGTCGGCTGTCCTAATTAGTACAAAATGTCCTCCCCATTTTTTAATTTGTCATCTGACGTTTTTATATAAATTATAATTCTAACGACAGTAAAAATTATAAATTTAGCATTTAAATATTTAATTATCTTCTACAATAAATATTACTTACATGATACTAAAATTATCGTGATAAAGTACATTTTAAGAGGTCTGGGATCGACTGTAGGCCTAATGGAATGGCGTCACTTTTCACTTCACTGTGCCGAAGGGTCACACCCCTTCGTGTTTTGGAGACAGACAGACAGTGGAGTGGTCGCGCAACATAGATATAGAAAATAGTGCGGCAGAGCACAGCGCAAGAGTGACGTCATCGGGTATCGCTCCACCCCTCCCCCCTAACAAGACTCCCCCAACCCTCGTCATCAGCTTTGTCGCTGCGCATCTGCGCTGGTCCATATCCTATCCATTACACCGATGCGCTGCGCTGGTCGCCTTGGCTATGCGCTCTATCTCGTATCTCTCTTCAATTCTAACCAATGTTGTCTGTGGGCTACTGTTTTATAAGTTCTAACTGTTATGCGCTATCCTGTCGTGCGTCCACATACTACTGTACATCGGTGTCGTCATTATTGAATCCTGCATACGCACGGCACTGATGAAAAACCTTGTTTTTTTTTTTGTTTGAAGGTGAAGGTAGATTGATGTATACCATGACGTAAAATTCAAAAACAAATTAGTACTGGAAAAATCTAAATTTATTATTGAATTAACTTTGAGTTTTAAGCTTTCACAATTGTAGTTTTTAATTAGGAACGACAAAAAAGTACGAGTTAAAATATAAATCTGTTTAAAAAGATGTACGAATTCGTAGATTAGATAAAAATAAGTAGTTCTATGATCACAACTTGATTTGTGTATAAACTTATAATTATGTATAATAATTAAGGGAAAGCAATCTTTATATATCTTTAATAAAATAGGAAAAACATTCCCATACAATGTATCATAAAATTAACATAATAACAAATGCAAAGACGTAACATTGTAATTACAAACACACAAATATTTTACAGTATATCATTAACCTGTTGTATGGACAACAAAGCGTTTAGGCTACCTATGTCCTGCTATGTATTATATATAAACAAATTTGATCTTTCTTTTCCGAGTTCGTTTGGCTCTTTTCTACTGTACCCGACCGATTTTCATGATTGAGGTCAGTATTGAGGAAGTTTCAGCGAATGCATGCCGGTCTTCCCTATAGAATGCCTGCCGCATTGTGTCACTGATAGACCAAAACCCGGGACCAATTTCTTGTTTTATTATGATGTCCCAAAAGCCCAAAATCAACTTGTATATATGAGTGGTGTCAAATTTGTCACAGCTGTATATAACACTGTATTCCGGTTAATTTGAGTACCCACATGACGTGTTTTGGTTAAAAAGATTTTCGGTCATTTTGGTCGTTTTTCGGGTTTATGGAAGTTTTCCACGGAAAAAACGTCATTTTTGGAAGCAACATTGAATTTCGAGTAGATAGAAAAACACCAATTAAAAAATTTTGTGCAAACCCTAAAATGGATATTTACTGTAAAAACAATTGTCGCCTGGTGTAAAATAGTTCAGTCAATCATATTCATAACGGTCCCAATATAACTCGTCTCTCCACTTCTAAGCTGTCTCAATCTGATGAATTTTCTCACTAACAGTGAAAGTGATGATGAGGAATGTAATTTGATGCTTATTAAAATTAAAATAAACTGTATCAGCCATCTGACACATACTTTCTACAATTAGCTTGTCAACAACAATTATCATGGGTAACCGATGCCGATGAGAGTAACTAACTATGATATTTAATAGGTAAAATCACAAAAATTGCATTAACGTTTTAATTGTACGTTAATGCAGATAGGAATCGGGGGTTAGACTATTTTTTTAGAATTATAAGGATTAGGCTATAACAGACAAATTTCAATAAGAACCGGGTTTTTAAAATCCATTTTTCAGGTTTTATGGGGAAATTACATAAGTTACAATCACTTTTGTAATTTTTACAGCAATGGGGTTGGGGGGGGGGGGGTTGCACTATGTTGTTAAGAATTATAAGGACTATCACGTACTGTACTAATTTCAATCAAAATCGATTTCTTTTCAAAACAAAAATCTGATTTTAACACAACCGACAATAGCTTTTGAACTGTAATTTTACAGGAATAGGAGTTCTACTATTTTGTTCCGAATATAAAGGGCCGTACTACTAAAGGGGTAAAGGGGGGGGGGGACATACTAAATTGTTATCAAAATCGTTCAGGCAATTTTTGAGAATATTCAATTTTCCGTTTATTTTTGGGTTTTATGGGAAATCAATATTAAAAATAAAAAATCCTGGAGATACCATGGATTAGTACCTACATACCAAATTGCATCAAAATCGGACTACAGGTTGTGGTATGTAGCTCTGGTTACATCCACACATACAGACAGAAGACACACACACACAGACAGACCTTCAAGAGTTCAAGAACCACTTTTTTGGGTTCAGGGGGGACCTAAAACGGATATATCAAAACTCAATCTAAAAAATGTTGACGAAAACAATACTTTCCTTATATACTATGTACTGTATAGGGGGAGAAAGTAAAATGATAATAATGTGATGCAAACCCGGTAGAAGTTAGTAGTTTCACAAAGACAGGATCTATTTAAGGCAATAAAATAGTAAAATAAAAAAGATCCAGGAGGCTTATTTTCACAACTCAATTTGGATCGGGTTTCCTTAGAACTAACATCTTATTTTCCTTTTGTTTTGTTCACAAAGCAGTTACATTAGTTTTTAAAACTTAGCTCCCCATTAAAAAAGATCATATTCCTGTGAGTCAGTCACAGAATGTGACAGCGTCTAAAATTATATTTTCTACCTTATTTGGTTGCTGACAAAGTTGATGGGTCCTAACAGTTGATATAGCTCCCAATAAGTTTTCCATCAGTTTTACTTAAAAAATGTTGTAGCATATTCAAAGCGCAATGGTGGCTCACATCAACTACTGTAATCTGATTTTGATTCACAACTTTAATATGTGAATGGAATGTTTTGTTGTATCAATAGTCAAAGGTCTCTATGGCTAAAACCTGTCACTTCTGGGTTAATGTTTTGCTTAAAACAGAATAAGATGATGTTTGTATTCTTGAATTGTGTTACTGCACTTCAATAGAAATCAAAATTTATTATTTCACATATTCTAAATTGTTTACCAGCCGGAAGGAAGTTAACTTATTATGACTTAACAATTCGAAACAGGCAAGTCAGAAACCTTTAACCCACAGAAATGACAAGGTGCACGAGTCTAGAAGAGAAGCTGTGTATTTCATAATCACACAACAAACAAAACATTGTCAAACTGTTTACTTTGTTTTGTTCAAATACCATTCTGATTTCACAATATTACAGCATTACATTTACTTCAAGAATTTCCTTTCACTTGGTTATCAAATTGATCTGTTCTAAATCAAACTGAATTAATACAATCGATTTTTAATGGTTGGGTAGGTATTTGATAAGACTGATTAAGATGATCCTAAGCTTAAATTCATCTTAATTAGTCATATTTTAAGTTTGTTAGTGAGTTTCCTTAAAGGAAGATATCTTTTACCATAGCTAGTCTTTAAGGTAAATCCATGACTGCTGTTGTTTATTATTTTTTAAATTTACGTTTTTATTTTTAAATTGGTTTTTTGTGCTTTCCTGTTTTATGGTATAGGTTCCAAGTTCAATAAAAAAACAGGTTTGTCTATTCCTTGAAGAAGCAAAAACTACTCCCTTTGTGTTACTTTTATTATGGGTAGAGTGATTTTGCATTAATCCTGTACACCCTTTACCCTTTTACTTGGAACCTCTTTGGAAGTTAAAAACAACTGAAAATTAGATCAGTGTATACAGGTTTTCTGAATCAGGAGTGCATTTTACTCTTCACATCATAAAACATTTGATTATAATAACCGTATGTATTGTTGGAATTTAGAATATTTCCTCATTAGCTGTTAAACAAACTCTAAATCTTTGATCTTTTTTGTAAATATTTAACTTATTTTAAAACTAGTCTCCCAGAAACATAAAATGTGTTGTACATTGAAGCAAAGTGCAATTTGTATACAGTAATAAAACTCAACAAGCTGCTATACCCATGCTTTGCAACGGGAAGAAAATGTGACCTACAGAGCTATTAAAGTTTTGCTGATGTGTGTTTTAAACAATTTGTATACAGTAATAAAACTCAATTACTTTAAGTACTTACAAGATCATTGATGTGTTTTCTGTGGTCATAAACATAAATAACACAGTGACAGTCAATGGTGGAGTAAATCTTTTAAACAGCTGCATTATATCACTCTAAACTCAGAACACTTTTCACATACAGTACACAGCAAAATGTTGATTGATTTTTCCTTTATAGTGTATATTAAAAACTGTAATTTTAAAAGTCTGTGTGTGCACAGAATAAAACATATACTTTGCCTGCTGGATCCAATGGACCTCCCAGTTATTTTTGAGTTCTAAACACTCTGGTCAGAAACCACACAATCATGTTAATAATGACAGGAGACTACTGTGGCAAGAAACTGAGAAAACAGCCAATGACTTTCTAATAGATCTGTTATCATTAGGACTAAACAATAACAATCATCAGTCAACCAATGATAGACAAAAGAACCAGGTAAATGTAGATACAATCATAAATAAATAGGCCTATAGTTACTGTTGTTCAAGCCATGTTCAGACATGTTTATCTGTTTGTATGTACATTAATGAACATTTGTTAAAACATCTAAATACTATGTAAAACATAATACACCAACAGGTTACAGGTACTATTTAAGCAGTTTTTAAACAATTAATTCTTGCCTCAAAACAATATTCTTTGGCATATCAGTTAATTCTCGTTAAATCACAATTTCACAGCACACACACCACACCACAAGTTCTAAGAACCTACATCAGTTAACATTTAACAGCTAGTGTGGTGTTTCCGGCCACTGCCTGCCTCACCTTCACTTACCCCCCCCCCCTCTTATTTCCTCACTTAATGCACTTTTCTTCATTGCATTTTTTAAACCTGCACATATACATATCCTGGAAGGCAAATAAGTGTTGTCCCTGGATACATGTAGAGACAAACTTTCCCCTTACAGTACTTATTTGACAGTATGACTACTGACAGTATTACATTGCCCACAATTATATGAATATTTACCTAGTGTGTAGCTTTCTAAAAACTTATCAGAACAGCCCAACATATGCTATACAGTAATTGGTGGATAAATATATTACATTATGTTTGCAACAGTCGTCTGTACCGGTATACTATAAACTTTCCTGGATATTACCAAAGGGAACCAAAAGTGTTTTATTTCCTTAGTCAATGATATTACTTAATTACTACAGTATATATTTAAGACTATGTCTTCAAATTAAAAGTCAACCCGTTTTAAATTAAGTAGCCCCGTTATATCATATTAATACAACCTATTTATTAGAAAAGTTAACTACCACAAGTGCATTGTGTGCTTTAACATCATATCAGAATAAGTCAAGATAAAATAGTGGGCATGTTCTGCCTGCAAAGCATAAAATATTTACTGATGATAACTTGTAAAACCAAGGTAAACTTTTGACACATCACTAGTAACTACACTCAACATTAGTTTAATTTTACTACTGAGGTGAGGGTTATCGTAAGACTTGTGTGAACTACAAACAGTAATTTAAAAAATTATAAATACAATAGTGTGGTGCATTTACGTACCCAAACAGTGATGCTTCAACACTTAAGTTCATAATTTTACTGTTATTTTTATTTATATATCAGTTGTCTGAGGAAAGAAAACTAAACATTTCCTTAAAATACACTGAGCACACAACTGATCGTTAAACTAATTTGTTCTGACTGACCTTAGATCTCAGCTGATATTTTTTGTAATTATTTTCCCATTGCCATTACCACAAAGAAGATGGCCTTGACTAATTAAATGAATGTGTGTTAGTTCCTGTCCAATAACTATTAAAAATTGTTACCATTTTAAATACATCGGAAGGTCTACAAGTACAAAAATATAAACTTACCTCTTGAGGGTTTTGTTCCTAAAAAGTCCCATGGTTTTAGCTCTCCTCTTCACAAGCCAAGTAACATCAATCTAAAACCCAAACAATCACATTGTGATGACAATATATTTTGTGGGTTACTATTTTGAACCATAAAAAATCTTCTTAGTTACAAACTTTGCAAGCCAAATGTGCTACAATACATAGGAAAAAATATTGTAGATGTTTACTATGATTGCTTGAAGTACAACAACATCAGAAATGTAAGTTACTGTGACAAAAAGTTTTTATATCTTACTTCATTTTAACAACTATCATTCAGGGGGAGCGAGCTGGTCTAGTTGTTAGAGCGTGGGACTTCGGTCTCTGAGGTCCCGGGTTCGAATCCCGCAAAATCACCTATGGATATTATCTAGGTGATAATGCCGCAACCCCTAGGTCTAGCCTGAAGCAATGTGAAAAACAATCTCGGGCCTCGAGCGTCTTGGGACAAAAAATAACCATCATTCAGATTCTGTTTTTCATTAGTAAAATGTTTCCAAAGAAGAATCAATTTACCATGTAACTGATTATATCAGTATACTTATATTTACTTTAAGATGTACTTTAATGTACACTAAGTACTGGAAACATTTATCACATATTCTATTTTTTTATTTATGCCAAACTATTTTAAGTTTTGCTTAAGTTGATGAATGCTGAATATGAAAGGTTTTGCTTAGAAGATAAAATTTAAACTTAAACTTTAACTGAAAATTTAACTTTTTTAACTTAAACATTTACTTAAGTTTACTGCAAAAACATAACTTGAGAACAATCACTTCTTTAAGCAGTATAAACAATAACACTACCAATATGTATTTAGTTAAGATTTATTTAAAGAGACATTTAATTTTACTTTCTATCAAAGAACTGGGCAAGGCAAACTTTATAATGCCTACATTCAATACTACTCATATTATTTATGCTTAAAGTATATTTGATATGATACATTTTATTTCCTTACTTGTTTTGCTTATGCTTGATCTTTATCTTGATTAAAATAACTTAAATAATATTTTAAGTAGTTTTTGTTTTGTTGACATAAAAAAAAAGATTTGTATTTGATGTGCCCACCTATTTGATTGTATGAAATTATAAATAGAATCTAATTCTCATACATATAAGCCAGAACTGAAAATGAAACGCATTGAGTACATTTATTTACTATTTGGGTTTGTGTAAACATAACCCCCAAGACGTATCGTGTTAGTATGGTTGTATCTTGAATTTATGTATTTATCGTTGTTTTGTGTCGCTTTGACGGATCGAGTTACCATGATTGTAACTGAAATTTGTGCATTTATCGTTGTTTTTTGTAGCTATAATTTGTTTATTTGTTGTTTTTTCTTTTAAATGTCTCCGACGCGACGACAACGAAACATAGACAAGAGGCGTACCGATCATGAGTGGGCATTAACCTAAGTAATAAAAGTCAAAATTCCCAGAGTAGGCGTACATGAAGGCATTATACTTACATGATGACCTAATAAGTGTTGACCTTTTCTTCTTATAACTTACAAGGAAATAGATTTTTACTTTATATCTAAAATAATATTGAACAATTTTTGAAAACCCCCTTGGGAAAATCTTTGAAATCTCCTTTATATACAACTTATTAAACTTGAGTTTAAAATAATTATAAGTTTTTACTTAATACATTCAAAAGTTTAATCATTTAGACAGCATTAATAATTATCTGAAGTTGTATAACTGTTGTATTTAGTTTCTAACAAAATTATTAAATTTTTACAATCCAAAATATGAAGCCATTTATACTTTCAGTACAATTTAAAATGTTTACTTACCCAAACATGCACACTAATGATTATCTCCCTATGTTTACAGCCTACCTATTCACTCACACTAGTTTGACTGTTTAGAATTGGCTAATTTCAGCTGTGGACTGTTTACCATTCTGTCAGCTGTTTCTGACTTCAAGGTTGAAGAAATGTTTTACCAAATCAGCTGGTTGTAACAAACATATTGTCTGTTGTGGCAGTAGAAAGTCTTGAATACACTACCGTCAGTGGTACCAACACTCTACCAAAAAAGACTGTCTGAGTGGGTGATGGTAGTGCCAACCTAACTCAATTGTTTACTTCCTTGTTTTTGTCATCATTTTCTCAATTGTTAATGGATCAGGTTCAATGGCACAGGTGATCAGTTGGGAAATAATCCTGTACTTTCTCTCCTTATACCATAGTATGGCGAAAGCATTGTTTTTTTTTTTCAAAATTTTTTGTTTGTAAAAATTACAGTTCATAAGTTATTGTAACTTATGTTATTTTCCCCTAAAAATCCCATAAAATTACAAAAAATCTGAGTTTGGGAAAAACCTGTTTTTAATTCAAATTAATGTGCTGTGGTCCTTATAATTCTAAACAAAATAATGCTACCCCCATTACTGTAACAATTAAGGTTCAAAAATTATTGCAACTTTTGTGATTTTTTCCTACAAAATTATTATGGTTACTCCCACCACTTACCCATAAAGGTTGTTGACAAGCTTAAGGGAGAAAGTATACGTGTCAGATTGCTGATACCGTTTATTTTAAAATATGATTTTTAAATGGTGATATTCATATAAAACCCACAAAGTAACAAAAAAAATCTGGCACAAAATAACAAAAAAAATCTCTCAAAATTGGCAAGTACGATTTTGGTTAAAATTTAGTATGTTATATTCCTTTTGGCTCTGAACAAGATGGTATAACTTTAATACTTTTTTATGAACCCCATTGCTGTACACATTTTGGTTCGAAAGTTATTGTAACTTTTATGATTTTTTCCCATAAAAACCTATTAATTCACTGAAAAATTTGATCTTCAAAAATCCTTTTTACCAATTCTGATTCAAATTGTGTGTACGTTATAGTCCTTTTCACACTTTGAAATTGTATAACCCCTATTAGTGTAAAAATTACGGTTTAAAAGTTGTTGCAAAGTTTGTGATTTTTTCTCACAAACATTTCATAATCACTACCAACAAAGATTACTTCCAATTACAAACCCTTGTATGTTTCAACTAAACCGTTCTTAGCAAATAAATATAATTTAATTTGTAATGATTTTATTTAATAGTTATTTTTTCCATTAAAGTTATTTTCATTGCATATCTTGAGGTGCTACTCCAAGAACAAATGACGATTGAGAAACTTTGGTCTTTATATGTCAATATTTTTAAAAATTAAACCTGTATCAATACTCGCATGGATTGTAAATCAGTTTTAGTTTCAAGGTATATATATTCAATGGTTTCATTTAAAACTTCCCCAAAAAGTAATACTTACCTACTACTTAGCTACTGTTATATTTAATGGGCAATAATCATGGGTTTTGTTTAGGTATGTGATTAATTTTGACAAGCCTCTACATTTAACTTGGAAAAAACTATGGCTTGAGTATTATATTAGTCACATATCAAATTAAAGATGTTGTTTAGTTTACTATGACATAATGAAATCTGAGAGTTTGGGAAAGTGAATGTACTTAATCGGCTTGTCTAAACACAATGATAACCTGTGAACTTTTGATATGAACCTTAACTGTTGTTCAAATTTAGGGCAACTTTTGACAAATAATTATTTGGATACATAATTAGATTTTGAGGTTAATGGCATATAATTTATTTTGTCTAAGATACCAACTGCTCAAATACAAATTGTAAAATAATTTACCAATGATTTATGACACAAGTTAAACTGATTTTCAATACATTTTTACAAAAACTTATTCTAAACAATATTAGCTTATCATATAAATTACATACCTCAAAACCAACACTGATGACTTACTCTCACTATGACACATCCAGCACCTGTGTTTGCTTTGCCTACAAAACTGTAATTATGAACAGAGGCAGAGGTACTACAGGAGGCAGTTAGAAAACAAGACTGTTGTCCGCACACAGTTTTATTTAAAAATACATACAATCGTAAAAAAATACTGCACAAACAAAAAATTGGTGAAACACCAAAACAGCTGCCTACAGTTGTAAAGAGAGCTCTGTACAAGATCTTAAAACTAAACTATGCTACGTGTCTTCATCGAACCTTTGTTTGATTTCTTTGCTGATTTGTGTCGATAAACTTTCTGAAAATAAAAATAAAACAGAATATTAGATATAATTACTTTCCCTGTAATTCAGAAAATGAGTCTTATAAGGTATAAATGGTTTTGCATTTATTAAACCTCGCTCAAATCATGTCACAATTGAAATATGTTCTAGAATTATTGTATGTATGTACTGTACTTGTATCTCCACGTGTGTATGTTTGTACTTGTTTTTGTTGCCTTTTACTATATCAAGATTGATAGTTGTAGAGCAATGGTTTTTCTGAACTTTATATCACACCATTGCCTAACTTTACCAATATCTTGCATACCGGTTAGTTTGCCGATGGATATAATGATGTAAAACGTCATAAATACAAAAAATGAAAAAAGGGTGGAGAGATACCCTAAAACAGAGCGAAATTGAAAAGCAACGTGTGTAAGCCAAATGTGATTTGATTAAACATTCCATGTTAAGAAACTTACAACACTACGATGGTGTTTTTTTTTTTTAACTATTCCCTAGTAGTTTATGATCATAAAGAGGAGAGAAAAGTATATTAAAAACTAAAAACAGGTTAAAATTAAATTATATTTAATTTAACCATTTGTCAGTCTCTAGATCAGGTGAGTCAAGGCTAATCTTCTGCCGGCTACACCCTGTTTTCACCTTCGTATCAGTATTACAATTTGACAAAGTTTTTGGTAAATATTTCTGTGTTTGTTCATAGGTATATCAAATCTTATAACAAAAGAGGACATTTCCACCTACCGGTAGTCGATTAGCTCAAAAATTAACCATCAGGTTCGAAACCTTGGTCATGAGACAAAAACCGGATCACTGACAATACAACAGGTATGTAACATTTTCATTTGTGAAGAATATTGAATGTGAATGAATTTGGAGTCACAGGAGATTCTATAAACACAGTCTAGATTTTTAAAACCACCAAGTTGTTAGTCATCTACAGTTACTTAACCAGTAATTACTTAATGAGTGCAATCACAAACAATTACAGACTTCAATGACAATCTTTACCTGAGAATGGAAGGTAATCTCTTGTCTCTATAGATGAATTTGTGTCCGTGTCCCATTTTGTACTCGAATGTAACAAATTCTGTAACAGTCTTGTCATCTTTGCGGTATCCCATTACGGCGTTGTACAACTGAAATATAAAGATGAATATTGCAATCAAATACAGTTAATAAGATGACAGTAGCTTGCAAAATATTAACTTTCATTTCAACGATTGATTGATTGATTGATTGTAAGAGGGTGGACTCATGGTCCAAGCACGTCAACCGAAGCTTATTGTGCATCCCACTTGCCACTAACTGGGTAAGCCTATGCCTGTATCCCCATTTCAACGATACATCTATATTGCTTTAAGGATAGTAGAATTTCAAGTGCAACAAATAACATGCCGGTTGATTAGAATAAAGCATAATTCTAATTTCAAATCAACGTAAGTGTAATGTCTTGCATGCTCTGGAAAAAGATACCTCAAGGTTACTGGTCAATTGAAAGCAAAATCTGATAAATTGTCTCCACTTACATCTCTTGTATGTTGTTAGAGTACTTCTGGCAGATAAATAATTTTTTGCTATTATTCATCTCATGGACAAGTGAAGAGTTTTAAGGAAATGCATATTAATGAAACCTTTATTTTTCAACAATGTTTTAAATGTTGACAGAAACTTCAGGTTTAACTTTACCAAACAACACCATAATTATTGAAATTTGTTGGTAAAATACAGGTGGCCTATTAAATTTTGTCCGATAATCCCTGATTTTATAAATGATGTTATAACCGCCAAAACATAAGTAGCCTAGTGAAACTGTACTTGTTAAGGATTGTCTGAAGAGATAAGTTTTAGCCAATATTTGTCAAAGATGCATATTTTAATGAGCTTTAAAGGTGTAACTTACCTTCTTTCCGAGCTTGTAAGGAACCACCATGTCATCTTCAGCGTGGAGAAACAATATTGGTGCAGAGACATTCCGCAGGTTCACATCACTCTGGAACCTCAGTCTGTTGTCAAACACTGGATCTACGAAGAAGAAGTCGAACCAGGGCAGCCATGTGAACAACTTGAGAGAGAAGGAGATATTTATTGGTATTTAGCAATGCAGCTAAGACTAAGACAGCTTATTATATCCCCTCTATCACAGAGTCAAGAGAATTTACAATTTACTGACAGCTTACAAACTTGGGCTTCTAATGAAACACTAGTGACTCTATTTATAACTTACATGATTTCAAATTGTAGAAAAAGGAGGATAGCAGCTAGCTTACCTTGAAAGTCTGGGTAGGCCATAGAACAAGTAAAAAAACATTTTGCACATAATATTTCGTCCCCTAAGGGATTTTGTCAAATGTAGAGAGAGTTTATAAATTACAAGATGGCTGCTGTCATGGCTGATGGCTGTTGTCAACTATGCAGGGTTGCCACATCTCATTAGTCTATTTACGGCCTACCCACACTTTCAAGGAAAACCTTACATGATTTCAAGGCAAACGTAATCACAGCAAGAGAGTTGGATGTAGGCAGGGCAATGTGAGGAGACAGTACAGTTGAGAACAGGTATGAGGAGATCTACTGATCACACACAGGTGATGTACTTTACCTGTGTTTTTGAACAGTAATACACTACATTTTTTCATTTTACGTTAGTTTCTTTCAACATCTAATCTAAATTGCAGATTAATGGTGAAAAAAGTTTTAACCAACCTAGACATAGATCTATACTAAAATTAGGGAAAAAGTAGATATTGGAAACGGTAAACAGTAAAATTTGACAAAACCTCAGAGGTGATTTCACCAATTTACAAAGCATTTAAAGAGCAGAGACACATATAATAGTGTGAGGTTACAATTGAATTAATAAGGCAAGTACAGCCTACAGCTTTGACCAATCACCACAACCCATTCACATATAAACCGATGAGGGAAGTCAACACTAAGGATATCCTTATTGAAATAAAAATGACAAGAACTTATAATTGGAAAGTTAACGTTACACAAATACACTAAACAGGATAATCACATTGATTTTACCTGACATATAGGGTATTCTCTGATCTCGTCAGACAGGTTGTTGAAAGGTGCCTCTAGTATCAGTCCTGGCACTTGTCTACCTTCAGCCTCTAGTTCTGCTAGAGCGTGTGAAGCAATCCTAGAGCATACAAATACCATTGAAAACACCATAAACATTTTAGCCAATCTGCTTAAGCTATTTCACACAGTTGCTGTAAAATTAGTTCAGTGTGATAGATTCTAAAATCAACCACAGTTTTCAGGGTTACAAATTTGTTTCAAATATAGACCTCTTTTATATCCCACCTTCACATCCCAGAACGATAGACTCTAACTCACAACAAGTTTACACATTACTTCAGGCTAGGTCTAGAAGGTAGCAGCTAGCAACATCACCACACACCTAAATGTAATTAGTAAATGACGGAACTAGATCCCTAGACCTCGGGCGGGGACCAAAGCCCTACATGCCCTACCACTAGATCATCTAATCAAACTACTAGAGTATCACAGTACAGTATTAAATTTATTTCTAAATATTACAAAGAACAATTCAATACATTATGCTTTTGATAAAATCAGCCATATTAACTATCTTAAGTACCGGTATATAACAATAATTATATACAAATTTAATGATAAAACTCTAAAATGAGACCAATGTTGACCCACTAAAGAGTAATGTTGACAAATGATTGAGAAACAGAAGAACTAACCAACTACATAATACTAAAGATATATCCACTAAATCTCAAGGTGTGAAGATGTGTGTCAAGATGTGAATTCAAAATCAGGTGGGTTCAATAATATCGTAGCTGTTTATTTGCAACATTTTATTCTAGGCAGTAAACTTAATGGACTCTATATATTTAGCTGTTAAAGCTTCAAAATTTGGTAGCAATATTGTCAGAATCAAGAAAAAGATTGCAGATGATCACAATATAACCACGGTCAAATTTATATCAATGTCTCATAGTTAAGGGAAATTATGCATTGGAGACTGGATTAAAAAAATTCATAATTGAGACTCAAAATTCCTGGATTGGCAATGGCTGGAGAATAGAGGATAAATTACAACAGGTGGTTGAGATATGGGTAGTTGTATTTCATAAAAATTTGGTTTAGGGCGAACTGAGTGAGGGCCCATGGATTCTTATCAGATGGGCCCATACAAATATCAAAATACATCAGGAGGACCAAGGCAGGACAATCCAGGTAGGGCAATGAATTAGAAAAATCTGCTGATATTGTGTTAGTACCAGCTATAGCTATGCTATGTATCAACGTTTTTGTGACAATAAAGTTTGATTTGATTTGATTTTGATTTAAGCTAACACTTACGCAGTGCCCAGGGAGTGCCCCCACACAAAGACCTGGCCTGACGTAGCTCTGTCCAACACCCATGATATGACTGTCTTGGCATCTTCCACAACACCTTCCTCCCCCGTGGGTACTCTGGTGGAGTCTGCATAGCCTGTACACAACATTGTCCTAGTTGAGTTCATTGTTTGCTTCAGGCTCTAGAAGAGTGCAATGACATGCACGATTGAAAATGTGTCAGTGTAAGTATTTATCAATCAGTCTCAACAAGTATTACAGCTAAAATGCTTAAGTCAAAATAGTCTTTGTCTTCTAAAGCCATTCACTCACTGAGTAGATTACCTAGGATTTATCAGTGTGGCTGATTGTGTGTAAGTTAGATATTTATAAATATAAATAAAATCTATGACATTAGAGTTCAGTAATCTCAACCAACGTCTAGCAACTCGACCTTTTAGAAGGCAAAACTATTCAATTGCATACAGAACTAGCAATAGTAAGTTGTCAGCTCCACGACAAAGGAATACTAGACTCATATTAGATAGGCCTAAGCCTGAATATAGGCTCAAGTGTGGAGAATGTGATTGGACTAATATTGGATGGATTGGACTACATAGGACAGACTGGTAGATTTTGTAGGACCAGATATAAAAAACACATAAACGCTATAAAGAAACCCAATACTGTCTCAAATTATCCGGAACATATTGAACAATATTGCCATGTCTGTTCTGAAATAAATAATTTAGAAATAGTCCACATTGGCAGCAAACTTAATTGTATTGAACATTTCCACATCTACACAACAATCCAATTTTTGAGAAAGTAATACAAATCAAACAGGAAAAGGTATAATTGAGCAGCTTAGTTGGTACACGTATTATCAGCTGTTCCAGTCGTCCACCAGTCTTGCAGTGATAAAGCTAGGTCAGCTGGTCGTCAGTTTTGTAGCCATGCACTTCCTTTCATGTTTTTGTGTCCTGTTTGTGTTTTGTGTTATGTACTATTTATTAAACTTTGGCAAAGTGAAAAATGAAGAAATGCCGTATAAAATTTAAATATTGATTTAGTTTATTGTAATACGACTATGACACGACAATGGAGTGATCTCCGAAATAACTGTAGCGCTATAACTTATCAAGATTGTGAAGACTGTCAGTAGCCTTAATATATTAATTTATAAATATAAAATCTAAAATCCACTATCTTTACTTTATTTTACTTTACTTGGGATGGTCAATATCTTAAACTCAACTGAGCTACCAACATCCTCACAAGCACTTAAACAACAAACATGTTTACCTCTATAGTCGAAGGCAATGACATGATAGTTCATCTGGTTGAGTATCTGGTAGAGTCGAACTCTGTGGTCTGAAGCTCTAGTCCCAGCATTGCCGTGACAGTAGATAATCGTAGTCTCAGTCCTCAACCAATCATTGTACTGATCACTCGGGTCTTTGCCAGTCAGCCATTGGCCAGCTGCTGCTACTAACTGATGCTTCACAGGCAACGTATGCCTACAAACACCAGATATGACAGTTTTTTTATTTGATCAATTTGTTAAGTTTGGAATTTTAGTCTGCAAGTTTGCTGCGGCGCGGGTATTTTAATTATGAGATACAATTCAGAATCTTAATCCTGAATTCAGATTAGTAAAATTAGGTTTAAAAAAGTCACTGTGCTAATAACAGCAGTTAAAATTTAGTTACACTTTTGAATTGCTAAATACCCAGTTGCTACTATCACATGGAGTTTCATAATAGTAGTTTACGCAACGATTGCGTTAAGTGAGTCTTTACGACACGAGTAGAAAATTTAAGGCACGAGCCTTGGCGAGTGCCTTAAAAACTTCTACGAGTGTCGTAAAGACTATTAACGCGAGTTGCGTACACTACTTTACCTACGACCGTTTTTTAATTACTATCAATCTGGATTTAATTACTAACAATCACTAATGATAACTTTTTAGAGAGGTTGTGTTTTCGTGTATTGTCATTGCCACTGAAAGTGATGCAACGACTTGTTGTATAATCAGCTGATTTCCTGTAATTACGTGTTTGTTAAACTTCGTTAAATATTACATTGCTAGCAGCATTCTTACCATAAATAATATTGTATCAGGTACAATTCGGCAAATATTTCATTTATTTTTGGACTTCCACCAACTTAATTAAGAATACGCGAGTATCAACATGAACAAGTCGGATCAACAATTAAATTGGTCAACTGATCAGCTGATCAGCTGATTAGTTGACGTTCGAAGCATTACAATTTTAATTCTTTTCTCTCAATACTTGAACCTCATTGGTCCGTTACCTGTGTGGATATGAGAAAACTATTCGGATATGAAATGAAACTATGCGGATATGAAAGTAAACAGCTGTAAAGTGAAACTTTTCAATTCTAAGAACTGGACTGAAATGGCTACTTTAAAAAACGGTCGTAGGTAAAATACATTTCAACATCGAGCGTTCAATCGTGAGTCTCCAGTGATTACCATTGTTGAGCTGAGTCTAAGATGACTTTCACTTAAGATCATAAAATCGATTAGGCCTAGTTAGAATTGAATTTTTAGGTATTCAAGAAAATTGATGGAATAAAATATGTGGTTAGTTCTTCCTTACTAGTAAATTACATTAATTTGAGCATGCTAGCTTCCTGTATTATGTGAAATTAACAGTACAAACTCTGGTTATATGCAACTGTAAAAATCAGTCAAATGATAGTAAACTAAACCCTAAGAAAAACATTTACTCACCATACGCCAATTTTAAGACCATCTTTTGTCTTGAGCTGTAAGTTTCTTGCCCCAACCAATCCTAGGTTTGAAGGCTTGTTGTAGTCTACATTGGGCACCCTTACTGAAACATTACAGGCACATGTAAATCCTCTAAAATTGTAAGCAAAAATAAAACTTTGATTTGAATTGTTATAGCGTTAATATTGTTGTTCATATCGTTTACTCTAACCCCTGTGGCATTTTTTAAGTTTTTTCCCCCTGCGGAAACGGCCCACAACCTTGGTCTTGTGATTATTTAACGTTGATCTTTTGTTAGATAGAATAATTATTTCATAGCCTAGAGCTTGGAATTGAACCATAACCTTCAGATTTGAAGACGAGCACTAACTACAATAATGTAATATGAATAATCACAATATCTCCCTTATCAGAGAGAAATTCAAAGGAGTAAAATCTTACCTTACTTGTCTAGACTAACAAATTCTTCAGAATAAGCAGTAGTGACTGACTTACTTTGTTTTTCATAGTTTAAAACTCTCCACAAGACTGATCATCTTTCTGTTTCTATTTAAACTTTTAACATTCTATCAAACTACCACAGTCCTAAATCAATTGAATTGCCTATTGCTTCAAAAGAAGGTTATGCCTACTTTATCAGTTGGGTCAGACATTAAGATTTGTATAATTTTGATTCAACTACTGTTTCAAGGGAATAATAACATTTAAGTCAGGTATGATTGATTTTATAATATGCAACATACCAAATGTGAGAAACAGCAGCCCACGCTGCATGTCATAAGAATAACGAAATATAAAAGGGACGACTACGAAGACGAAGAGGAAACAAACCAGGGCGAATATGAACGTCCCGAAGCATATTCTGTAAACAAACCAAACCAAAATTACACATTAAGATTCATGTAATTTTAGTTTAATCCTTAGAATAATTGCAAAAAAGTGTCTAAAAACTCATAATAAAAAACTAGCAGCCAGCGTCACTTTGTGACTTCAAAATCCGTGATACATTTTAAACTAATAACAGTACAATATTTTACTTGAATTCATTAAAACATCAATAAAACATACTATGAAAACACAAAATCCTATCAAAACACAAAATCTAACATAAGCCATTTTCTTCTTTACATTTTATACAAATATCTGTTGTCCATTTCTAAGCATGATTATAAAGACTCTTTTATAAACTAACTGGTTAAACCAAACTGTACTCTTTAACTCTAACTGTACTCTTAACTGTAACTCTTTAATAAACCAAACTGTGTTTACAATTCAATAAAAGAAATTACCTCTTTTGGGGATTAATCACAAACAAAACCAGTCTAGTCATACAATATACTTACTAATAAAGAACAAACATTACCTCTCACTCTGACTCAATACAGGGAAATTAGGACATATAATTCAGCCCTCCTAACACCTTTGGGCCTACCACACGCCAAAGACCCCTCTCCTCTTTTCCCAATCCCACAAAAAATAAATAAATAAAAAATAAAAATGCCTCAAACAAGAAGAAATAGGACAAAGAGTAAACAAGAGACTGACCCTCCCCCGAAAGAAACTATGCATAATAGGTCTACTTATCCATGTATAGTTTGTAACATTAGTATTAATGATGACGACAAAGCAGTAGCCTGCAACTGTAGTGACGTAAATTGGTACCATATAGGCTGTGTTAATGTTTGTGATGAGCAGTATAGTATCCTAAGGGACGAAAACGACACACTAGTGAAATGAAATGAAATGAAATAAATGAAATGAAATTTCATACTTATTGAAAGTTTTCAGTTTCATGAGTCACATGGGTCTGTCGTAAATGCAAGGCGCTATCTGCGGTACATAAAAGATTCTACTTGATGATATAACTGATCTAAAGGGTGAAATAGACAACCTTAAAACATAAAATATTAGGTTCTCTGAAATAATTGCAAAAATAGACTGAAGTTATATTTAAACTAGAACATGCAATCTGTAATAAAGCTAATGACAATAAGCAGGTAGGACCAAAACCAACAATTGGAATCAGCAATAAAGTAACTGAAGCAAAGAGTTATCATGTAAATACTAATATTACTGCCGAGAATAAAGCCCAAAACACTCTGCCTACCAAAAACAATGTAAATAGGAACGAGGTTAGGGGTAGTTCATCTAAATCCGTAAGTAATAACTTCTCCTTTAGCAATAAACTGAAGCAAAACACCATGGTTCGTAAATCTGACTCTGTTACCCCTGAGAAGGAAATTCATAGACTTCCTCTAATCATAGGCGACTCATTACTGTCTGATACCTCTAGAATTATCAGTAAGTCAGAGCACAAGGCAAATGTGAAGGTAATCCCCGGAGGTAGAATACAGGATTTTAGTAGATTCCTCTCTGAGCAACGGACACTTCTAAGAGGTTATTGTTAACATAGGTTCCAACAACATGTCATCAGCAAGAACCCCGAACCATGCAATGCGTCCACTCTGGCCGACTATTGAGATTGAGGCATACAAGAAACTCCACCCGAGGACTGGTACGTAATGTTAATACCATATAGATATGACAGTTACCGTAGATTTATAGAGGAAACCAACAATGTACTATGATTCATGTATGCGCAGCTGAAAATAAATTGTATTGACAACACAAGCCTAATAGGAGAGGAACATCTGAAGTGGGACGGAGTCCATCTGAACAGCGAAGGGGCGGAGATCCTGACCAAAAGCATCATTGACATAATCCGTCCTGCTGCAGGGGACGTAGATGAGAGCCACGATGACATTCATGAGCCCCCAAACTCCAAGCACAGAAAACGTACTACTATAACCCAGAATGCCAACCGCATGGTAAAAAGCATTAAGCGGTTTGAGAGAGCTTTGCCTGTCAATCCGTAGGCAGCGCCACCAGCGTTGCCATGCAATAGCATAGCAACGCTGGTGGCGCTGCCTACCGATTGACAGGCAAAGCTCTCTCAAACCGCTTAATGCTTTTTACCATGTGGTTGGCATTCTGGGTTTTAGTAGTACGTTTTCTGTGCTCCAAGTCACCGACTTCTCCGCAGACGACATAGCAAACAAGCCAAAACTCACCCCCCACCGGCCTGACAACCAGCATACCCGACAACTTTTCAACACACAGTACAATAGTAATTTCAATAAACCATTAACTATCTTCTATCTCAACATACAGCGAGGGCTACAAAAAAAAAATTGACGGATTGCTAATAGAGGTTGTCAAAATTAGGCCTGATATCTTGATCCTGTCGGAACATGGTCTAAAGAGTGAAGAGCTCGCCGTCACTAATATTGAAGGATATGTGCTGGCATCACAATTCTGTAGAATCAATCACATGTGGGGTGGTGTTGCACTTTACCTAAAAAAAAAAAAAAACAATCTCCCTATTGGCACAGAAGAAATTAAACTTCAGGAACATGTATGGCAGAAGAGCAAACCTTTGAGACTGTTGCAATCAAATTAAAATACAAATTCTATAATATCATACTGATTGGTACATACAGATCACCCAATAGTACTACTGAAGAGGATTTTCTAACAAAACTGGGACACGTCTTACAGAGTTACACCACGAAAAATAACTACTGCCTGGTCCTAGGCGATGCCAATTTTGACATTTTGAAGCCTGAAAATCGGGGTGTAAAAAATCTCTTATGCCTGTTGGCTGAATATGGATGTTACGTATATGATATTCCTGTGATGAGAAAAACTCCAACATCTCTCTCTAGTATTGACGGCTGTTACACCAACATATAACCAGATGAAATCTCTGTACAAGCACACCTTACCAGTTTATCGGATCACCACTACTTAATCTGTAAAGTGAAAAATAAGAATAAACACCAGCGAGCTACCTATAAAAACTCAAGAAATTTTTTCCAAGGCTAAATTGAAGGAGTTAAGGGAAAAACTAAGTACAGTCGACTGGGAACCTGTTCACACATCAAGGTCTGTAGATGAAAAGTATAACAACTTTCTAAAGATTCTTCGACTAAACATGGACCACATTATGCCTAGGGAACCGAAGAGGGTGTCAACAACAAACAAGAACATTTTTTGGGACAAGGACATCTTGGAACAAAAGGCAGCTCTGCAAGTTGCCCACAACAATTATCTGCTCACTGGTGCGGAGGATGACAAGGAAGGTTTCCATGACATAAAGAGGGCTTATGACCAGCAAGTCAATAGTACACGAAGACACCACACTGCGGTAAAAATAGCTCAGGCTGACAACAGAACCAAAGCTATATGGAATATAGTAAATAATGAGAGGAAGAAGAGCACTACAGTACTCAACAAAATCACATTAGCCTAATCCAACATGGCAAACTAATAAATACATGACCCTTATCACGTGAGCAATATTTTTAATAAACTACAACAACTTTAAGCCTACCCTGGATCATACCAACCAACCAGATAGTGACATCAAGCGGATGGAGCCTGACAGGAGAGTGCCAGCGTTGTCTTCTTTCAACTGCATATCTGAACAGGAATTGGATAAACTATGTAGTAGTATTAGGCCTAAAAACTCTGCGAGATTTGATGATGTTACAGGGAAGATTCTCCATAAATGGTTTGTGGGAAAACAAGTGTAGCGCATCAGCCCTTTTTTGGACCTTCAAAAAGCCTTCGATAATTTAAGCTCGGAAATTTTTCTTCGAAAACTTGGCCAGTTCAATATCACGGACCTAGCTCTTAATTGGATTAAAAATTGCCTTGATGACAGGCAACAATTTGTCGAATTAGGCTATCAGCATGAAGTGCAAATAAAACTCATTATGAATTTACCTAAGGATAGGTTTTAATAAACTCTGAAGTCAAGTAAGATTTGTAACATACAAATACAAAATGTAAATAGTAAACAAAGAACAGCTGTGAGACAATAAAGAAACTCATAAATTAAATAAGGAACAATAACAGTTCATATGTATAAAAATATTATCACATTCTTCCCACCCCAAAACGAGACGTAGTCTTTTAGATAGTTAGGTCTTTGCCGTATACGCTGTGAATGGGTTTTGGAAGGCACTGAACTTGAGTCTTTGCAAGAACTGTTTGCATGTTCAACTGGTACATTTGTGTCACTTAATGTCCCACTAGAATCATTTTCGTCTTGTTCTTGATCAAATGAAACCTCCGGTTCTTGAATAGCTTGTTCATTTCCATCTGTTTCTGGCAATTGGTAGTCTGTTTCTAAAGATGATTGTCCAGGTGCTGGGGCCAGATCTCTTATGGATACTGTCTTCTCTTGCCCATTTGGGAGTTTCACATGAGCATAACCTGGATTTGCTTGAATAAGTTCTACCTCTTCTACAAGTGAGTCATACTTGCTGGATCTGTTGTGCTTTCTCAACAGCACTGGGCCGGGTTGTGACAGCCAGCTAGGAACTGAACCTCCATAATACGATCTTCTGGGGTGCTTAAACATCAGTTCATGAGGTGTTGTATTGGTTGATGTACATAATAATGATCTTATTGAGTGAAGTGCTTCAGGAAGAACTGATTCCCAATACTTTACGGGTAGGTCTTGGGTTCTGAGAGCAAGCATAACAGTCTTCCATATAGTGCCATTGAATCTCTCTACTTGGCCATTCCCTCTAGGATTATAAGCAGAAGAGTGGCTTGACGCAACACCATGAGTTTGTAAGAAAGACTTTAATTCGTCTGACATTAATGACGTTCCTCGGTCTGAATGAATGGTTAACCATAACTGACAGATCTAAAAAAAAATTAGTACAAACAATAATAATACCTTGACTATGATAAGTTAAATTAGTTAGATTATATCAAATCTTGGCGGACCTTATGTTTTTATTGTAAACTTTTGTATTACTCGCTCTACTTTATTGAGGAAAAACACAA